TCCAGCATTTTAAGAGTTGAAATGTGTACTTCAGGATGTTTTTACCTATGCCCTGCCACCAAATCTCTCACAAGGGAGTGAGCCCAGCATATACATAACCCTAATGCTTTTTAAGAGTCTATTCTTTTTCTTAAGTTAACAACAAATCATCCAACTTTCCTATCTATGCTGCCAAACCAAGAAGCTTTTTTTTCTTACCTGCTACTTGGCCTTTAGGTCAATGTAGATGTAGTAAAGAAAAAGGCATCTATAGAACTCTTTACTGACCTTGAATTCAAGTCAGAGGAACCAAGCAGCTGCTGCTCTCCTCATCACTTTTATCCCTTGTGGTAATTGCCACCTCCCTTTTCCCGGGCATTGTGGGAACAAGAGGTAGGCACAGTCAGGGGTATATTAATCCCAGCTCTTCAAAAAAAATGGGGTTTTTTTCCTCCCTTGGGTTGAGTAGTATGAGACCTCTAGTCTTATTTTAATTCAGAGGCTTTTTCAGGTCATCTCAGCTTTTTTCAGGGAGTATTTTAGTTCATGATTTTTGGCTGAGTGTTCAGGGGTAGCAAGGTGCTTTTGTAATTTCTCTTTTTTTCTGCTTCTTGTTTTTCTTAGGAGTATTGTAATTATGAAACTTCAAATTTTCCCAGCATATTTTTTGTGTCCCAAAAGTGACCTACCCCATATCAGAGACAACATCTGAGTTTGAGGCTTCTGATAGGTAAGTTGAGTACTGTTAACTGTGAGAGGGAATTGTGAGCAGGATACCAGGTTAGGAATTGCTAGGAGGGGATTTGAAGGTAGCATGGTAGGGAAACAGTGTCCATTTGGGGCTGGTCCCCTAAGGCTTTTCTACAGGCATAGTACATTTACATGCCTTAAGGCATAAAAGTATGCTGACAGAAACACCACATAATTTTGTCTCTCACTAAACCAACTGTCCATTGTAATGCCACAACCTTCACCTTGGGCTGAAGCCAGAGACTTAAGGACCTGGGACACTTAAGAAATGGTGAGTAGCTGACATGCTGGGATTTGGCCTGCGTGCCACTAAACCCATGCATTAATTTTGTTTTTTGGTTTTTTTTTGTTACAGCTGACTAAGAGGTTAGCCTGGCAATTATGGGGCCTTTCACAGTGGCTGAGGTGGACTTGTTTCGCATTCAATACAGTCTCATGTTGCCACTTATCCAAAAGTTAAGTTGGGGTCTATGATCTGGAGATGGGATGATAGCAGGGTAGGGGGTTGGAAATTCCTGGGAGAGATTTAAATATTAGCATAGAGGAAAGGGATGTCCACTGAGGGGCCTCTTAGGACAGCTAAAGGGAGCTGGCTCTTCTTTTGATTGCAGCACAGAGTGGTTCCAGTCAGTGTTTAAATGAGCTTGTGTGCTCCTGTTAACAAGCAGTGTGTTTTCAACTTGAAATTTGGTATGGTTTTGTTTCTTTAGGTTTTTTTGGGGTTTTTTTCCGCACAACTGAATCATCCCTCTCATGAGTAGTCCGTGTTGTTCTACACAGCTGCTTTGGTTATGGGTCAGAGAGAGAGAAAGGAAATGACTTTTTATGATCTTGAAATTTTTGCACACAGAAATGGGATGTCATCTTGCTCCTCCCCAAAGCACTGCAGGCATATGGGAGTAGCTCAGTGCTGGCACAGTTGTCTGGGAAATGACAGCATTTAAGAAGTATAAGTGTTAATAACTCTCTTGTCTCTCGGTTGCAAAGATTCAGCCCTGCAGTCCCAGGCTGAGGATGGAAAAAAGGAACTTGGGTTATTCATGGAAAACTTTCTGCTATTCCTGGTGCAGACTTTAAAATCTTTGTATGGTTTACTGTCCAGTATCTGTACATAGAGAATGGCTGATTTGAGGTAAAAATTGAGATAATCAGTAGTGTATAAATAGGGAAAACTTCAGGAGTGAACTTGAGGTGGCCTTTAGTGGAGAGTATGAATATTTTGAAGTAACTGTGGCAATCAGTAGTGCACAGGTAGGGAAAGCTTTGAGATAAAATCTGAGGTAATGTTTAGGGAAGAGAATGAACATACTTGAGGTAAAAATCAGGCAATCAGTAGTGAACAGATAGGGGAAACAATAACAGGTAAAACTGGAGATAATCTCCAGAGTAGGGAATTAAGACTTTCTTGCAGAAAGCTGCAGAGCCAGGCAGGGGAAGTGATTCCACACAGATTAAACTGTCATGAGCCAGGGCACTCCGGGCCATCCTGGAAGACCTGCAGAGAGCAGGAAAGAGGCAGTTACAGCCCTGATCCTCCTCCCTGCTTTCCCAGGGGCCATGAACACCATTTCATCCTGATCCTGAGAGCTCCAAGGAAGTTAACCACTGAGCATGCCATGTTCCTGACACTCCTGGCCTGGAACCACGGCCCAGCAGCTTTCTGTGGGAGCCTGAATTACTTGTGCAGGTCAGTTCCCCCTCAATTCCTGCAGTCTGGCCAGTTTCAGGAGATGTCTGATCCCTTCCCTAGGCTGCTGCCACAGATGAAATCTGCAGTCTCAGCTCCAGCCCTCACCCACTGCCACACTCACCCCACTGCTCCTGGCCAGGGGAGCTAAACTAAAACCTAGACACTTAAATTTTAAGGGAAAAAACCTCAGCCTCACTTACTTGAGAGTAAAAAGTATGCCTGTAATTACACATATCAAGGAAAAACAGTCCTCTAGGAAAGTATTGGATTTATGTTATCAGTTGAACTGGCACAGCTGCTGCCATTAAGTTCTCCACCTCCAAGAACCCTGGATACCCTGGGCCATGGGGTTTTTGCTCTGTTAGGACGGATCTCTGGCCAGACTCACTGCCCAGGAGCATTCAAAATCCTATTTCTCACTTCCTGGACTAATAAATCTCTTAAAATCCACTCTGGATTGTGCAGAAAAGCTCCTTGGTCCCACTTGAAACTAGACATCTACAACTGGCTTTATTAGTTATTCCAGCAGAGTAAGATAATGATTAAGAAAAAGAGAAAACAGTTAAACCAAGTAACTTTTGCCTGAAGTTTTCCTCAGGAACAAGTTGGGAGCTCACCAGCAAGGCTCCCAGACAGGTAGAGTGTGTGATGTAAAATTTGTATGTGCACATATAAAAAATATAAAAAAATATACGTACTTGTACACATATATTAAAATATATATAATATGTATTACAGAGTATCTAACTCAGTTATCTACCCTATATATAACACCACAAATATTTTTATATCACAAATTTTGCCTATAAATTAGCCAACACTTGCCTGTTTTCAGGAATGTAACAGTTTTAGGAATCCTAAAATCAAAGACATGCAGTGCTGCACTAAAGAAAATAAACCATGATTTTATCCATTAATTCAAAGTTGTTTTCCTGGATGTGCTGCTGGGTGTTTTCCTGTAACCTCTTGTGGCTTATCCATGAAGTGTACTTGGAATTGTTAGGATCATGCAACTCATTTGGAATTTTACTGTCCAGCAGGCTGAATTTTTTTCAAAATTATTTCTCTCAGACTGAGTGCATGTCCTCAAGCGGTTCTGATTGGCTGCTCCGGGGGCCGGGGCGGGGCATCGGGAGGGAGAGTGGCTCTGATTGGCTGCTCCCGGGCCGGGCGGTCGCCTTGGCGACCCTGACGCCGCCATTGTCCCCAGCAGAGCTTGTCCGGGGCTCTGCCGGCCCCGGGACCTCCCGGCCACGGAGTCTCGGGTCCTCAGAACCACCCGGGGGTCTTCCCCACGGCCGGCACGGCGCCCGACCCGCCCCCAGGCCGCCCGTCCCTCATGGCCGCCGGCGCCGCAAGATGGCGGCGGGCAGGCCCTGAGGGGAGGCGGCGCTGAGGGGAGGCGGCGCTGAGGGGAGGCGGCGCTGAGGGGAGGCGGCGCTGAGGGGAGGCGGCGCTGAGGGGAGGCGGCGCTGAGGGGAGGCGGCGCTGAGGGGAGGCGGCGCTGAGGGGAGGCGGCGCTGAGGGGAGGCGGCGCTGAGGGGAGGCGGCGCTGAGGGGAGGCGGCGCTGAGGGGAGGCGGCCGTGAGGGGAGGCGGCGCTGAGGGGCGGCGGCCGTGAGGGGAGGCGGCGCTGAGGGGCGGCGGCCGTGAGGGGCGGCGGCCGTGAGGGGCGGCGGCCGTGAGGGGCGGCGGCCGTGAGGGGCGGCGGCGCTGAGGGGCGGCGGCCGTGAGGGGCGGCGGCCGTGAGGGGAGGCGGCGCTGAGGGGCGGCGGCCGTGAGGGGAGGCGGCGCTGAGGGGCGGCGGCCGGGAGGGGCGGCGGCCGTGAGGGGCGGCGGCCGTGAGGGGCGGCGGCCGTGAGGGGCGGCGGCCGTGAGGGGCGGCGGCCGTGAGGGGCGGCGGCCGTGAGGGGCGGCGGCCGTGAGGGGCGGCGGCCGTGAGGGGCGGCTCGGAGCCGCAGCGCTGCTGCCCCGCTGCAGGAGCGCAGCGCTCTGCGCTCCCTCCCCTGCCGTCGTGGCGAGCTTCGAAATGTCGGGCACAGCTCCAGCCGCTGAGAGAGCCCCCGACCCAGCAGGGCAGCTGTTTTGGGCTCTTGGTTTGCCTAAACTATTTCGGCTGTAGAGGAGCTGATCTTGTTAGTGTGGTCCTACTTGGAAATGTAACTCCTCAAAACATCCACAAAAGGCATTACCAGTTATTTCAACTGAGTAACTTAATTATTGGGGGAAAGAAAAAACAAACTTTTGCCTCCTGAAACTGAGGACAGCTCTTGGCTGGAATCAGACAATCTGTGTAACAGGCCCTGAGTCAGGAGTTTATGCTGTTCCCTCTTTTTATACTGTTCCACCTAGGACAGCTGCCACAGTCATTCCCCTTCCAGATGGGCACAAATGTGCTTTTGTACAGCCTTGTCATGCTTAGCCCGTTTTTAAAACGCAGCTATCCAGGCCATAACACCCTTCGTGTTGAATGTCAGTCCCCAAACCCAAAAGGAAATGTGTGGTTTCAGACATTTTGCTGAGTTTCTGAGACTGTCAGTGACAAACCATTATGAAAACCCAGTAAAAGAGACGGAGATGGGTTTATAAGTATAACTTAACTATTTTAATAACTCTTGTACAGTGCATGGTTATATCATTGTCTCCTTCGCTCAGTTACATCACGTACAGTACTTTATAGCAGTGTCTGCAGGCAGTACAAACAGATCAGGTGCACAGCTCAGTCGCATGAAATTTGTAAAAGTGACCTCTGCAATAAGGTCTGCTGAGATATCTGTTTTAGGAAGTGCTGCTGTGGCTCCCAGCTTTACAGAGCTGTCATGTACACTCCTGTTGAAATCCCAGGTAACTGTAATTCCCTGTGGTTTGCCTTCCTCTACACCCCAGGACTAGAAGGTGGGGTGTTTCCTAGCTCAACATTTGTTTTTATTTTCATTGTAGAAATTTTTCACCTCCTGTGCTTGCCATCCTGCTTCCCTTCTCCAACCTAATCCAGAGCCAGGGCTTCTCAGGAGGATTGTCCTCTTCATCCCTCCCTGACAAGGTGAGTGCCCTTCTCGGATCCCAGCAAGGCTGTGACTAAACCCAGGATCCCCCCCTGCCTGCACCCTAATTCTGCTGGTGCCAGCAGTGTCCTCTTTCAAATGAAGAAAACAGATTATCCATTGGAGACACTTAAGAATAAAGCCAAAACTGAGGTGCACTGGTGCTCTCAGATTTAGACACAAGTTCCCCAGATGCTGTGTTAAAGCTTTTTCCATTAAATGTGCAAGGACAAACACAAATTTGGGCAAAGACTCAGCATGTGCTGAGAGAGAAAACCCAACTGTCCCTGGCTGTGGCAGCTCTGGAGCTGTGTTTGCTTTGCAATCAGGTTGGTCTGTCACTTATAGAGATAGAAAAGCAATGTGCCAAACTTGCTGTGGACAGGAACTATGCTGCTTGCTTGAGTTTTGAAATTGTGAGTAAATTTTGGAAGTATAATCACTATATCTGCCTCTAGGGAGAGAGATTTTCCTCACCCCCTATTTACAGATTGTTATATACAAATGCACATAACTTCATGAAGGACAACAGGAAGTCAAGAGCAACATCCTGCGTTAAATTAGATTTTTGTTTTTCTTGTGCCCATTTATTTGGAGTTAAACCTGCCTTTCCCAGCATGCTTTAGGGTTTCAGCTATTTGGGAATCATTTCAGCTGACTTTTTACAGTGGAAACGTGAAGGTGGGGATGAGTGACCAACACCCTGGGAAGGGCTGTGGGTGTGCCTGGGATGGGAGCAAATGGTCAGGGCTTATCTTCTCCTGGTCTGAGGCCGGGTTTGGCAGCACCACAACATTCCAGTGCAGGATCAGCGGCCCAGGGAAGGGCTGCACAGCTGCCCTGAGCCCATCAGCAGCAGTGGGCAGGTGGAACTCACCCATGTCCACATTCAGATCCCTTTGTGTGTCACTCCTGCTCATTTCTAGGCCCTGAGAGCTCATTTCAGCTGCTCAGAGACAGCACTAACTGGTCTGTGGATTTAAGGAAGCAGCCAGACTTTGGGAATGCGTGTTGCCATTCCAGCCTTGTCCAATGAGGGGGGACAGGAGGGGACAGGGAGTTGTCACTGGGCCTGTGCTCTTGGGCTGCAGGGGACACCTGCACTGAGGAGGAAATGGAAATGGGGCTGCCTTAGGTCACTCCCCATCCCTGAAGTGCCCAAGGCCAGGCTGGACAGGATTTGAACAACTCGGCCTTGTGAAAGGCGTCCCTGCCCACGATGGGGGATGGAACAGGATGAGCTTCAATGTCCTTTCCTTAAACCCAAACCCCTGCAGGGCTCCAAAGCCTTATTCCTGTGGGGCAGGCTCCAGGCCTTGGGGCTGGCCTCTCCTGACTGTGTGCCACGCCTGCTCTGCCAGCGAGGGGTGGGAGCAGGGACAGCCCTCAGAGAAAACTTTGGGGGTCTTTGAATGCAGCCTTGTCGTACATCCAGCCCCGTGTGAATCCTGCTCTGATTGCATGCATGGAAAATTTCAGTATAAAATATATAGTTATAAAAAAAATACTTCATGCAAAATTAAAACACCTTTCCCAGCGGGATATGGTATCATTGTCAACCCTTCCCAACAGTGTTCAAGGAATTGTCACTCTGATGGCAGCTGGACCCCAAGGGGAGCTCTGCTGCCTCCGGCCTGGGCCGGGAATAATTGCTTTCATTCCCTTTTTTGCTGCACTACTTAGGGCTAAGAGCTGAAATAAAGCAGAGAGACTTTAATTAGCAGAATCAATCCTTTCCTGGCGGCGCTTCATGATTTCTTGGAGCTCTGACTCCCCTCTGCTTTTCTGGAATGAAAACAAAACAGGAAGTTTGGATTTGAATTTCAAGCTGTAGTTAAATGACAGTATTTAATGAATGCTGTAGGAGTAGAGCTCGTTTCAAAGGGATTGGTGATATCAGTAAAAAGCAGATTAATTAGTGGATACAGGAGAATCTTATGGGTTTGGGGCCTTTTAGCTTAAAAGACACTTCAGAATTCTTACATGTATTTTATTGCTTGTGTAGGTTTGGTTGCATTTTTTCCCCCCGCATTGTGTTTCTTAAAATGTCTCTTTAATGATCTATATGACACTGCTGGTACAGCCCCCCATTCCATCAGGAATTATCCAGAAAAACACTTACCTCCAGCTGGTTTTTCTCCACCGTGATCTTGCTGTACACTCTGTTTCCCTCATCACCACACACCTTCTTCAGCTCCTCTCTGTTGAGGGAGAAGAGCTGAGCTCCGGTGAGGATGCCCAGGTGTTCCACGGTCCTGGGGAGACACAAAGTGGGGAGATGATGGTTGTGCTGCAGGTGGCCCCATGCCAGAGGTGAGGAGTGGGAGACGGGAGGCTGGGAGCTGCACTGGGATCGTATCACAGGCCCTGGGGCTGTGCCAGGGTGGCAGCTGTGATTCAAGTGGCATTTCAGGCCATTAGTTTGTTGATTATTTTTCTCCAAGAAAATGTTTATAAGAAAGAAAGGGAGTGAATTTGGGCTCTGAAAATCCTGGTTATAGAGCCTGGATTTAATAGGGTTGAAATCTAATTTACAACACAGGCTCTGTGAGTAAATCCCAGTGACTTGTCCCAGGTGAGATGGTGCCAGCAGCCTCCCCAGCTCCTTCTCCAGGGAAGGACGAGCTTTTCATGTGGCAATAGAGCAAATCTTACTCTTTGCTGAATGACTTGGCCTCCAGCCAGGCTTTGACTTCTTCAGTGCTGGATTCAAAGGTGAGGGGCACAAAAACTTGCTGAGGCTTTTCCACTTTGAAATTCCTGTGAGGAGGCTGAATTTTATTGTTTGTGATCTTCTTTAGCAGCTCGTCGTTCAGCTCATCCATTTGGTGAATAAGTTCTGTAGAAACAGGTAGGGAATGAAATAAAATCTTCAGTCAAAAATCCCATTAAATGTGTTTGTGGGGAAATTGGAAGGAAAATGGGGGTGTGGATCAGCATTTTTATTTAAATTCAGCCCAGAAAAGTGGTTCCCATTTTTCTGTGCTCCTGTGTTGCCATTTATTTTCCTCCCATCACCCCTTGGCTGTTGCCTGATGTGGAAGGACAGATCTATGTGAATCTGCAATTCACAGTTGGGATTGAGACCTTTTCAGTGCTCTCTGCTACTTCTAATCAGTGATTTGCTGATCCCAGAGCTGCAGGTTTTGCTCCACAGCGGAACAGAAGTAGCAGGAAGCACAAACTGGGAGTGAGGAACACATTCATGATGAAATGAGCTTGAAGGTCCCTTCCATCCCAGGCCATCCTGTGATTCTGGAAAACTCCAGTGACACTTCATCCAGTGTCACTTTCCCTGTGAAACTCCTGAGGATTGTGGAGAATAACTCGGTGTTAGGAACAGATTCGTGTCCTTGTATTGCAGGGCTTTCCATTGTCCCAAAAGGACTCCTGCTTCCAAGAGTGGACAGGGTGGGATAAGGGGTGAGGAGAGCGGGGCCCCTGGTCTCTCTCCTTCTTTGTGACCCCCACAACATGTACAGGGTGAAGGAGGGATGTGGATCTCCTGTTTGGCTGGGAATTCTGCGGAACTACAGAAAGGAAACAGCCAGGCAGGCACTGCATGTGTGGCAGGATATGAGCAAAAGGAAAGGAGAGAAAGGGACTGACCTGAGCTCTTCCTTAGACACACTTAAATGTTTTGAAAGAGAAAGGAAATTCTCTCCTTGGGAGGAGGAGGAGGAAGGAGGAAGGAGGAATGGAGTGATCACTTATTACCCTGCTCGTCCCAGGCTGTCTGAGAGCCTGGGAGGTGTCACAAGCTCCAGGGCTGCTCTCTTGGCTCTTGTCCTACCTGCAATGGCCTCCAGATCTGGTGCTTTTCTATTTCTGCTCACTGAAGGGTGAAGGGGAGCCCCTGGAGTAGGGCTGGTCCCGGAGCACCCAAACCCAGGGGACCCCAGCGTGGGACACAGAGTGGGACACACACTTACGTTCTTTGGCGTCATGTGGAGAGTTGCGTGATAACATCTCACTGCCCCACTTATCCCCTGCGTAGCTGGCAGGCAACTTGTGAGTTGGACTGGATGGGCCATAGCCCCTGGGGCTCAGGTCTCCTTTGTACCTCTGGTTAGACTGGTTAGAAAGGGGGAAGGAAAAAAAAAGTAATAATTTTTTTTCTGCCATTTTTCATTTTCATTTGAGGGACAAACTGCTGTGTTGCCCTAGTGTTGATGTGAGGCTGATGAGACCTCAGGTGGAACTGCATGGAAGAAGTTAATTTCTGGGAATGAAGAACCCAAGGCAAAGTCTGAAGTTTGTGTGAGGGAATTCCTAGACATGCTAAACATGTTCAATCCCATTGGAAGGCAAAGCCTCGCTGCTCCATAGGTGGGATGTGAAGCATGACCACTGCCAAGGGCCTGAAGCAGACTGGAAGTTTTTTGGCATTTTGATTAAACTAGCAAGGATTTATCCAGAAGCCTGTTGGGCCCCCTTTGGTTTTGTCCAAACTCTGCAATACTAAAATAGGGAAGCAATTCCATGCATCCCTAGGGTGTTTAGAACACTCCAGCTCCACATTTCTGTAGTGCAAATTGCAGTATTAATTCTCACTTAGATGGTGTTTCCATCTGCCTCTGCTCGAGTGATGTGTTCCTGCTGCTGAACTGAACTGGGCTGAGGGAAGTGTCCTTTAATTTAACCCCCAACAAAAATCTTGACATGGAAAAATTTGGAAAACAGGAGGCTGCTGCACAAATGGGAAGGATAGGTCTTATTTGGGAAGGCAATCATGGCAAAATGGGAGTTTTATCATAGGAGACTCAGGAATCTCCTGATTTTTTCTACTTCTGAGGGTTCATCCTGACTTGTGCATAGTATCCTAAGAAATCCAGGGAGGTCTGATGACAAGATTATTCCCAGAGGCAGATTATGCCCTGCAGCTGGTACCAGTCAGGTACCACCTGACTACAGACCTGTTCAAGCTCTTCCAGTTTCACCACATCCAAGATATTGTATGGAACGTAACCAGCCTGTCCACTCCGGTTGAGCAACTTCCACCATTGCTTATTATCTTCCAACACCTGAGAGAGAGACAAAAATAAATCTGCTAGTGGGAACATGGGATTTCAGGCATACACAACCAGTATATAGTGGGGATGGACCATCCAGAAGGTGAAGTTGCCAGAAGGACATCACTGAGGCCAGGAGCTCTGATTAGATCTGCTGCTCTAAGATGTAATCCAGGATTGAAACTTTTTCTGAAAGGCATCAGAATTTATCGTAAGGATGAAGAGGAGAGTGCCTCTGGGTGCTGAAGAACTCATAGTTGCTACGTAATGTCCCTGTTTCTCCAGATATCTTTTTTCCAATGACTGAGTTTCTGTTGTCTTTTTGTGTTAAAATAAGTAAATAAATTTTTAAAAATATACATTTTGCACAGAAACCTTTTCCCCAGGTCACAGATCAGTGTTAGCCCATGTCCCACATTCTCCAGCTGCAGGAACAGAAAGGTAATGAAAAAGATGTTTTTCAGAGTAAAAAATTCCTTGTGGAGGGGGAAGGGGAAATATGGAACACAGACCCAGCAGGGGATGAGCAGGGCACGACAGGGAGTTGTTGTCCTCCCTCCTCACTGTGGTTAAGATGGGACCGATGTGTTTGAGCTGAGGAAGTGACAGAGCCCAGCAAAGCTCTGTGTCACTGCTGAGACAGCAGCAGGGAAATGGAGTTGGTGCTTGCTGGTATCCTGAGCTCTCTCCTGCCCCTGGGAAGGGGAGGGGACACACCTTTCCCAGGAGTGGTCACGCACCTCCAGGATTTCATCCTTCAGCACTGAGAGCTCATTGGCATTTCGCGCAGTGAAATCGTAGCGGATTTTGGCAAATCTCCTGGGCACGGCCGCTCCCTGGGCCTCAAAATTCCTGCAGGAGAGAAAAACTGGAGATTTAGTGGAGGCCCATCCAATTACAAGGCCAAGAAAATGGAAATTGGAGAAGAGAAATTATCCTAGTATTTTCCCTGTTCCACACTACATCTCTACCACTTGATGTTCCTACCAGGACCAATGACAGGGTAAATGAGAAAAATAAGTTATTTTGCTGATACAATTGGATTTAAGGTCTTTTGCTGTGGATTTGAATTCTTGTAGTAAAGCTTATAAATATTTTAGATTAGATTAGAACAGAAAACCACGAAAAAACAGTCAGGCCTGAGGGTTTTTTTCCCAGACTTGTGCTGGTAACAGAAAAGTGGATGGTCAGCTGAAACCTTGACTCAAATACCTGCAAAGTGATGTGTCAAGTCACAGCAGAAGATTCATGTGGAAGTCTGGAAGAGTTTGGTGACACTCAGAGATGTGACAATTTTCATGGTGTGAGCTTATGTAAACAAAGAAACAGATGGAGCCTCTAAATTCCAAACTAAAAGTACTTTGATGAAGGTTTTGTACCAGGGAGTAACAGGTGATGGAAAATGAGCATTGAAGCTGTTGAAAGGTGGAAGAGTCGTCTTTCTCTTGGGAAAAAAACCTGAGGCAAAAGGGTGGCCTAGTTGGTTCTGGGTTTGAAAGTGAACTTTCCAAGACTTCTGAAGAAAGGGGAGGCGTTTTTCTCCATTTTCTAGAATTCTGTCTCATTAAGAGTTGTCAGAACCTGGCACCCTGTCAGCTCCCTGGGGGAGAGGTGGGCAGGACTGGAATATATTGTTTTATTCAGCCTCTATTAAGTGGTTTTGCCTTTGGTTGTGCCTAAAGCCAAGGGGGAGCTGCTGTCTCCAGTGAAACAAAGCTCCTTCCTCAACTGAAATGTTTTCCAGCAGCACTGGGAGCTCGGGCTGCTCTTCCCTGGCCCTGTGTTTCCAGCAGGGCAAGGTTTGTGTGTGTCCTTCCCTTAGGGCAGATTCCCCCTGTAGGCAGCTTCTGTCTGTGCAACCTCTGGTTGCTTTGGGATGAATGGAGAGATCCTCAAGGATGTCCAGAGGAGGCTAGGAAGGACCAGGAAGTGCTCCAAGGGCTGGAGCATTACACAGACAGGCTGGGAGAGCTGGGAATGTTCAACCTGGAGAAGAAAAAGTTCCAGGGAGCCCGTAGAGCCCTTTCCAGTGCCTAAAGGGGCTCCAAGAGAGCTGGAGAGGGACTTTGGGGAAAAGGCTGGAGTGACAGGACAAGGGGGAATGGCTTCCCACTGTCAGAGGGTGGGTTTAGATGGTATATTGGGAAGAAATCCTTCCCTATGAGGGTGGGGCAGCCCTGGCACAGGAAAAGCTGTGGCTGCCCCATCCTAGGAAGTGTTCAAGGCCAGGTTGGACAGAGCCTGGAGCAACCTGAGATAGTGGAAGGTGGCCCTGACCCTGGCAGGGGGTTGGAACTGGGTAGTCTTTAAGGTTGTGTCCCACCCAGTCCATTCTGTAATTCCATTATTCCAACGTCTCCACACATTGGAGAGCCAAAGCACAGTGCAGCATATTTGGCACCTGATCCTTAAGGTCACTTTGGTTGGGCTAATGTTGGGAAACAAGACCTATGGATGGACTGATGAAGTCAGTCAATATTTTTGTCTCCTGTGGTGGAAAACACCTGGGATTCCTTTCCTTGCAGAGCTGCTGGGGGTTAAACAGCAGACAGTGCTTACAGGAATAATCCCTCAGCTGATCTTCATTTTGTCTTGGTGACTATTAATAGTGGCAGGGAGTTGTCTCCAGGATGCCCAAACTTCCTAGTATCACCATATGTGTCCGTGTGTGTTCATGAGGTTCCAAGGCAGGAGCTGAAGCTCCGAGGGTGCAGATCCATTACCTATTTCCATGTGGAGTGACATTCTGTTTGAAGGCATCCCCAGGCTGTGTCTGCTCAGCCGTCTGGCCACGCTTGAGTGAGGAGTTCCGGTAAGGATATCCATTGGCCGAGGAGAGCTGGAAAGGCAGACATGGAGTCAGTGTTACTGGGAAAGGGGAAAACTGGAGAAAAGGAGAGGGATAGTGGGAGATGAGTCATGGCCTGGCAGCTTTTGGTCAAGATGTTCTTCAGGGAAGCCTGTGTCCCTGGAGCTCAGTGACATTGTAGGGTCCTGTTGCCTTGATCAGGGAGAGGCTGATTATTGCTGCCCTTTTCCAGCCTCATTTGCTTTCTGTGTTTAACTGGAGTGACCAGTTTCAAATGAGTTTTGAGCCAGCTACTTGTTGCATACCACCACACCCCCCACAGCTCCATCTCTCTGGAAAAGGGGGAGGGAGAAAGAAGAGAAGATCCACAGGGACACAGGACTAACCTCCTCTTGCAAGTGTCCGATGTCTATTTCCCAGGGAGCTCCACGGAAGATTTCTGTGGGTGGTTCCCAACCGTTGCGGAATTTGGGGATGTAGGTGGGGATGTTCGCATCTCGGGGCCACTCAGCTCTAGGACAAAAAGTGGGAATATCAGGTGACATTCACAAGGAATGTGTCTTTGAGAACACCCTCTCAAAGGAGAAGCAGGAGCATCAGGGCATCCAAGCATCCCCTCTGCCTTGGGAGCCTGGGGAAATGGCAGTTCTGTCCTCACCTGGATCTGGTCCATGTTTCCCCCAGGGAATCCCAGAGGTTAATCTCTTTGGGTGTCAGGTGTCCTCTCAGGAAATCAGTGGCATCTTTAGAAAGCAGTGGGCTGAGGACAGACCGGGCCAGCTCGGGGCCACCACAGCTATTGACAATCTGGGTCACACACAAACCACACAAAGAGGAGAGAATTTGTGAGAAATGGTCAAAATGTCAAACCAGGGACACACAGAGGAGCAGGAATCAAAGACAAAGTTGATCCTTGGATCAGCTCAGTCACCTCAAGAAACATCAACCTAAGTTTTTGAAGGAGACTGGACAGTTCAGAGGAACATGGATTTTTTTTTAGACAGGAGTCAAAGCAAGATCTGATCTATAAATGAGCTGTTGCTACAGACAAGTGAAGTGTCATAAGCTGACACTTCAAAAAATGGAAAGTATCTTGTTATTCCTGTGTCCTTTTCCAAGTTGGGATTTCTGCTTCCAAGCATTTTCAATGCAAATACTGAACTGCATTTGCCTGAAGGTGAGACCAGACAGATTCCCAGTGGGAACCCCAGTTCACTGCCCCTTTTGTTCACAGTAATGCTTTATTGATTGGATGGAAAGATTGATATTTGCTGGGGTTCTTGTATTTACTTCAAGCTGCAAACCGGATCAGAGGCCAGGAACAACCAGCATCACTTCTGGAAGTTCCTGAGAAAGCTGTGGCCAAGCATGAGCAGTTTTCTAACCCTTCTGCACAATCCGTCTGCTTGTAAGCCTGAAGTAGAAATAAAAAGGGAGTTCCCAGTGAGACCTGGGAATAAGATTTACCAGTTCCAGCGGCCCAAATAGGAAATGCACCAGCTCCGAAGCACTGGGGTTCTGAATATGCTTCCTCAGTTTGGCCTGGAAAGAGAAACACAGTTTAACCCTAACCTGACTGTGCCTTCTCTTTTCTGTCACATGCGGGGTGTGCTGCTGGCTGATAAGAAGGGTAAGGGATGGAGGAGTGGGAATAATTCATTTTAATTTTGTGTAAATTTCTAATTCTTGATTAATTTCTAGATGGGTGGAGTACTCTCTCTGTTACATCAGTGCCTTGGAAGATAATTTGAACAGACACACAAAACCTTGGCTTATTTTGAAAGTCCTAGGGAGGAAAGGCCAGAGTTATAGTTGCTTCTCCCTCTTTCAGGGTTGAGAATCCCACTAATTCTATGAGTGAAAACAACAGGATAGGTGTTTTGAGGGTCCCTTTGCAATTGCTGACAAGGGAAAGTCTCCACCAAGGTCTTGCCTGTGGCACCTGGAGCTGCCCTGACCACTGAAAGGCTCCAAATGCAGTTTTATTTGAGGTGAACTGTGGCAGAATGGAGGAGCAAACACTTGGGATTAATTTACTCTAAGGACTGGGTTTTGGTAGCAGCAATCAGCAGAGATGTGGTGAGAAACCTCTCCAGTTTGTGCTTCCATTCAAGATCCTTCTCCTGTCCTGGGCTCCTGGCACTGCTGCCATGAGAGACAGGCTCCTTGCTCATACTGAAATGCAAAGCTTTTGAAATGCTGGAGATTAAACATTAATGTGGAATGGGAAGCGAGAAACAACTGCTGGCAGCAGGGTGACCCAGTGAACAGGCACTTCCCAGGGACTTAGCAGCTATGTGGTGAGGAATGTGGCATGAATCCACCACGGAGTCCCAGCTCTGCTCCACGCTCAACCGTGGGCTCTTGCCAGGAGATAAGCTGCTCCTTCTGATCCTGAGCAGGCACAAATTATCCACATTTGCTTCTCAAAGAAAAGACTGGAGCTTGGTGTCCTGCAAACCCTGTCTCTGGGGTTTCCTTTTTAATGACTGCCCAGGAATGAGCTTGGAGGATGTGTTTGCTGGACAAGTTTTGTCACAACTGACAGAATTCCTGCTGCCTTGTTAGCCTGCTGGTCTCTTGTGTTTCACTGAGCAGAGCTGGTAGCACTGGGAACATGTTTATGCTCTTCCTTTTCATCCCCTTCACAATACAGAGGGTCTGGCAGGGGAGAAGGAGAGGGGCCAATAATGTCAGGGAATGGGGGACTTTAGTTACTGTCAAGCAGAGACTTCCCAGGCCCGGATCCGAAAAGACCTGGGCACTGCAACTCTCTGGCTTCTCTGTTCCATCCTGGACTTTATGCTCTTAGTTTTGGTTTAACAGCTTGTCCCAGAAAACCTGCACAAGCCTGACACAATGTTTGTCCTGAGTTTTGAAGAACCTGGAATTCACACTGTTGTCCATTGTTAGTGTTTTCTGTTCAAGTTTCACTCTAAACACTCGCTGCTGGGATACACAGGGAAAAGCCCTGTCCCTGCATGGGATGGAAACACTTCCATGTCTTACCAAGAGGTTAAAAGCCAGCTTGGTTTTCTGGAAGCAGTCGATGAACTCGGCCTCACTTGGGGGTCTTGCTCGGAGGGTCAGCATTCCCTCTGCCAGGAGAAGGGGCAGAGAATGACACGTTAGTCAGAACATCCCCTTTGGGAAAGTTCCATCTGCCGGCCATGCAGAAGGCACAGCAGAAATGTGTGTTGAGACCAGAACTACTGAAAATCAGGGGCTCAGGGAAAGGCAAACTCCCTCTGTGTGCCGGAGGCTCTGTGTGCTCTGCCAGAGGTGTCCACGGAGAGCAGCACATCCCAGAGTTGTGTGCCTGGATCTGTGGCTGTGCCATGGCATTGATCTGGCCTTGCTGGGCTGGAGCTGAGGTGTCCCCCCCGCCCTGCCTTCATCCATGACCCCCCCTATGCTCCCCATTTGTTGTGGCTGCTGCACCGCACCTGCTGGCCCTTTCTTCTTGTTCTTCTTCCCTTTCTTCCTTTGGTTGAGCTGTCGGAATGCCTCTGCAGCCTTCTGGAGCCGGGCAACGAACACTTCAATGTCATCCAGGGTGCAGTTCAGGATTTGCTGTGGGGACAGAAACCCAAGGGATCAATGTAAAGTGAGCCTGGGCTATGCACAGCTGGGAGCCCAAATCCCAGGGCCTGCTGTATTTCCTGGGAGAATGCACACAAGTGAGTAATCCAGGCATTAAATGCAGCTCAATGCATCCCTTTGCAAGCACAGAGCTGCGGGGCATGGCTGTGTGCTGTCCTTGCCAATGTGATAAGTGACCCCTGCTAATGGATGGGTAGAAAATAACCCAAGTGGGATGGGAAGGAGCAGAGCCGGAATCAGCAGAGCTGCCTCAGGTCAGAGGACATTGTCACTGACACGGTGATGGAGACTTACTTTTGGCCACCTTATCTTTATGCACAGCAGGTATCAATTAGGAAAATGCCTAGATGATGCATGAAATGTCTGCTCCCTGCCTTTGCTCCCTCTCCCTTGCTCCCTGCCTCTGCTCCTACCTATGGACCATGCAGTGTTCCTGTCACCCACCGTTTCCTTTTCAATCTTCTGTGCTAACATGGCACGGGATTCCTCATGGTCATGAGAGCCAGAGCTTCGTCGTTCATAGTCTGCAAACAAGGCAGAGAAAAATATATTTACTATCAAAGGTTGGAAATAGGCTCCATGAAAGGCAGGGTCCCATGGGATGGTAGCTCCCAGCTTGGGTGTTTGTTCTAGGTTATGAGGGCACCTCAGGAATAATAGGTGCTAAATCCCAATCATCCTGCAAAAAATCCAACCTCGAGGCACCTCCCGGCTTCCAGAAGCCACATGCGCACTGTGGGGGAGATATTGCAGCAGGAACAATCACTGGGGTGGCCCCTCATGCAAAGCAAGCAGTGTCAGCTCAGGACAGGGGCTTGGAAAGGGCTGGCACACCAGGATCTGCCAACTGGGAGAACTGAGGAGGCAGTTTTGGCAAAGCACTGTGGCAAGTCCAGAGCATCTGTAAATGTGGGGATGAGGTGCCCCACCAGGACAGGTTTTGTAGGAAAAGAGGGAAGGTGTTTCGTGGAGAAGGAATCTCGGCAAACAGGCATTACTCAAGGCTTTCTCCTGTCATTTGCTCTCCTGCCACGCTCTGTGCACTTGCAGCCAGAAATCCTGCCTAGAGGAATTCCCAGCTCTGCTGATGTGAGCACCCTTGGAAGGGCAGAGGTAAGAGTGGCTGCTTTTCATCAGAATAGAGATGTTTATTCATGGTCCAGCTCAGAAATAGAGACAATCCTTTTATGATGCAGAAGTGGGCCTGAAATAAGTTCTCCATTCAGCAGCCAGAGCAGTTGCTTGGCTTCAGAAGCCATCCCAGCAAATGAGTGTTTTGGATGTGTTATAGTATCTTATTATGTGTTTTCCTTGAAAATAAAAATGAATGCCAAGAGAAGATGGTATGATAGGCAGGAGTAAAAAATGCTTACGGTTTGTTCGTCACTTTGATCTTTTGTCAGAGAAAGAGCTTGTTTCTGTTCCTAGGAACTTATTTCTGTTACTTCTTTCTCCAAAGTAAAATACCAGCTTTTTTCAAGCCAACTGAAATCAGCTGAAGTCAGGATGGTTTTGGAATCAGACATTAGATGAGCACATAAGAGGGGTGAGTTCAGATCTGCATTTCCACATTTGACTTTACAAGAATTAATGAAAACCAGTTGATTTTCAAGGGTGAAATCTTGACTCCTGTGAAGTCAGCAGAGCCAGGAATTTGTCTTTCTGACCAAATGTCTTGTCTATACATTTTAAAATCATCAACACCTGGTTCAAATTTCATGTGATGGCTTATGAGGGTCTTTTGCTTTTTTGGCATTTATGTATCCCCCAAATAAGGGTGTTGCTACAAGGAGTTTCTGGGAGCTTTTATTTGTTGAGCAGAAGATGCTCAGTGGCTACAACACTTATTTTCACCACAGATCATTTGAGGAAGGTTGGCTGGCTGAGTTAATTAGTCTCCCATCCCCAGGACAGACTTCCTGTGTGCTCCTAGTACCTGGATCATGCTGGGAAGGAGGTGCCACCCTGTTCCTGTTCATCGCTGAGCTTCGCATGTCATGCTGGATTGGGATGGGAGCTGGTCCTTGAGGTGGGGGGAGGATGGATTGTCTCTGCTTGATCTTTTCCTGATTTGCCCTGCAAGGAAAATGACACAGAACAACCCCATCAGTGGTCACAGATCCCATTTCCAAGAGCCTTGAGTGTGACTAAACCACTGGAAACTGTTGCTGTATCCTGCAGCACTTACTTGAGTGTCTGTGGCCGTATCTTCTTCCCATGCTTGTGGTCTGCCAGGGCACTTTCTATGTCCTCATGAACCATCTCCGCCTTAAGGATAAAACAAGGATGTTTTTAAGGGCTTGGCTTTAGGAAGGGTTGGAGGAAGGAGGAAAGGGCAGACAGCAAGAAGCGTGTTTTGTTCTGTTTCACACCAAGCAGGAGGGTTCTGCTTACCTCCACCTCATCACAGTTGAAGAAGTGGATGTCAGGTTTGTGCTGCTCAGAATCCTGACACACGAGCAGGAGGATGGAGGAATAGCGCATCTGATTGAGCACTGTCTGGCAGTGCTGCACTGTCGGCAGGGGAAAGTCCTCCAGCTCCTCCTGCAAGAGAAGGGGGAAGGTGTCAGGCAATGGGGAACTACTGAACTGAGAGGGAATGGTCCTGTGCAGGAACTCCTGGGATCCCTGGGCTGATCTTTCTTAGTTTGTCATTGCTAAAACCATCCTGTTCCCATGCTGCAGGGCTGATTCTAATCCAGGAGAGGATTTTGGTAGTGATTCACCCTGGTTTGTATTCCTTAGAACTTGCCCTCTCCCAGGCAGAATGGAAAGGGCACTCACTGCACCCCACACTTCAGTCTGGGGTCAGTCCCACAGGGCTCCAGGTACCTGTGTCTCACAGTCCAGCAGCCGGATGGACTTGTCATTCACTTGCAGCAGCATCTCCTGTGTCCAGATCTTCTCTTTGGAGTTGAGCAGGATGAGTTTCCGGATTGCATCATCCACTGTTGTGATGGACTCGCTCTTGTCCATGATGAAGGTGGCCAAGTGCTGAAGTTGGGGAGAGAAAGGAGATAAAAACAGGTGGAAAATGTTTGTTGGGCTGTATAAATTGGTGATGAAAACATCTCTAGAGGCTACAATTATTGTTTGTAGTTTCTCAGAGCCAGGCATGAAAGTGTTGCTGCACAAAACAGTTTTGGTTGTTGGTACCAGCTTGGTCGTGGCAGTGAAAGATTTGGGTTTCACAATGGGTTTTCATAGCCAGTTTCACCACTTGCATATTACTCTCATCAGTCCAGCCGCTCTCATCCCTATCCAGCAGGGCAAATGCTTCACACACATGAGTTACCCCCCAGGCCACTCTGAACCTGGCTTTGAAGTAGAACTATGGCAGTCGAACTAATGCTTTGCTTGCCAAACTATAAAAGCACTTGTGTTTTGCTTGTCTTGTGTAGCAAACCTGCTTGTGTGGGATTTGTGCTAGGCAAAGAGCTCACACAAGCCATGAGCAAGTGTTGGTCCTTTGTGCCAAGTGGGATCCATGCAATTTGTGGGGTCACATGCTCTGAGAACAGCTACTCTGAAGAGCTTCTATGCTGCAAAGCCTGCAGGAGCTCCAAACCTGGCAGCTCACTCTACACCAGCCCTTTAAGCCCCCCTTAGGGTTGGGGGCCTTTTCTCCCCAAAAATACCCAAATCAGGCCTCATAGTAGTAAAAATGGCTGTTGCTGACTGTAGGAAAGGATTTTTTGCCGTTTGTCTTTCCTGCCCTGTGGTTTTGATTGGTTATCCTGGTATTCCTACCTCCCTTCACCTATCCTGGAAACCCAGCCCATGGTCTTCTCCCATCAACCAAGCTTTCCACGCTGTCCTCCCCTCCTTCACCAGCCTGTGTGTGCTCTTTGGCCAGGAGCAGCTCAGCTACAGCACAGGCATCCAAGCTGCTTTCCCATCCCTGCTGCCACTGCACCCTGAAGTGTGCGGTCATCCAAGCCTTGAACTTGGCACCTGTATGTACAGAGTTTGTGTAGTGGGGCAGCACTTGCAGCTTTGGTGGGTCCCTGGGGGCTCCATGGGAAGGGAATGGTGGGCAGGGAGGCAGCTGTGGAAAGGAGAGGTGTGTCACATACAAATGTTGTGTGCCCACCAGCAGTGGGTGAAGGCCACTCCAAAAGGTCTGGTGAGTAAGTGCTGCTCCATGCTGATGGAAGAACTGGTTTTGTCTGCCAGCAGAGGGGACTGCAAGGCAGGAAAAGCTGAGACTCAGAGCAGCCAAGCTGTTTGCCCAGCTGTTGTCCCTGGGGCAGTGAAAACATAGCCAGGCCACATGTTCAGGTGATAGCAGGGAAAGAAAAAAAATCTCAGAAAGGAAAAAAAAAACAAACAAAAAAAAAAAAAAAACAAAACACCTCAGGAAGGAACAAGGGTCTGTTTCACCTTGTTCTTTTGTTGCCCAGCTATGTTCTTGGTAAGAAGGGAAGGTGAATGTGCCTGTGTAAAAAAGCAGCTGAACTTTCCCCTGTCTTTACCAACTTTCTCCAGCAGAGAAAAGCAGGTTCTTGCATGGGTAAGTTACAGGCCTGACCAAGGTATCTGTGCAGTCCAAGGGCCTGCAACCCTTGGAAGCTTATTGAGCCAGATCCCAGCTTTTTCGCTTGTCCCTGAAATATCAAAGGCCCATCCACCAGCATGACTCTCTCTCTCATCCTGGTTTCCTTGCTCAGTAGCGTATAGAACAGGCACTTCAGCAGGAGTGGCTAAGCTGGAGAGCCAGGAGCAGATTAACACCAGGAGCAAGAGAATCATCCCAGCAGGTACAGTTGCCCTGGGGGCCCAGGGACAGCAGTGTGGCCACTCCAAAAATGGTCCTGCTGGGCATTCAGAGTTTTGTGGGGAGGGCAGCAGTGAAATGCGTGCTTCTCTTTAATGTACACATCCTGTAATCTAGTTTCAAAGCAAGTGCTGGAAAACTGGGGTGTGTTTTAAAGCAAATCCTAAATTGATGGGAAATTTGTAGTAACAGGGTGAGTTTTGCCTGGATTTTCTCCCTTTGATCCCGTATCTTCCTGCTTTCTCACAGTGATCAGTCATAACCATTTTAGGGATCAAGTAGCTTCTTTCTGGTGCTGATGCACTCATGAGCTAATTCAGTAACCCAGTGGGTTGTGTCCACAGTTGACATGTGCATCAGTGGGCCATGGAGGAGGTTGACAAAACTGTTGGGAAAGAATTATGGGAAAGAATGTCTCCTTGTAAAAGCCCTGGTAAATGCAAAGTGGGAAGCAAATTAAGAGGCAGCAAAAGCTGATGCTGCTCCAGCATGTCCTGCTGTGGGACTTGGAGAAGCTGTGGATGTTGGGGTCTGGCACAGACCAGATGGACTTGAGAGGGATGTGTGCACTCTGAGCACAGAGCCTTGGATGGTTGTGAGGAAGCACAGACAAGAACTGTTGTTGCAGTTGGCTCCATACAAGGTGGATGCAGGGAAAGCCTGAGATTTAAAGCACAGGTAGACCTAGCAGAAAATCTTTAAACATGCTCTTGGCCATTAGGGGTGTATAGGGTTTGTGGTGACCCCTTTGCTGTTAGATGACTCCCAAAGCCTGGAGGAAGGAGGAGAGAAGTGGACAATGCAAGGCCCATTCCTGTGTTCATCAAGCAAAGGTATGGGGCGAGGCACTGTCTAAATAGAACTCCTGGCATGTGTGTGAGCCGAAAGCTGAGATTAGCAATGCAATCACAAATGAAAAACATGCTGGGTGTATGTTACTGTAATTGTAAAATAGTGCATGGGAAGGTATTTGCCAAGTCAGTTTTATCAGTGCAGAGATGACAAGCCCTTTTCTTTCAGAGTAGTGAGGAGAATGTGTTTACTTAAGAAGACAGGCATTTTTATCTCTTCTATTTTTTTATCCACCACCTTTACAAGCTTCATAAATTCCTTTGCTGTTTAAAGTTCAGTCAGTTTTCATGGAGGGGAAGCTACTTGTCTGACTTAATCCTTAGAATAATTTTCTGCTTTCCATTTTCTGTAGATATAGGTGGATTGAGAGGGAGAAGCTTGTTGCTGTCTTTTTTTTATCCCCTAAAACTCTTTTTCATCCACATAGACATTCAAATACAGCAGCTTTTATTAGAATGGGCAATGACTCCACCCACCATTAAACTTTGATCTGATTACTTCAAAGGGTATAAAATGCCTCCCATAAGGAAACCTCATTCTATCTCACTGCCTGCCACTGCAATCCTGTTTGCCTTGGTCAAAGTTCAGGGGAGAGACTCACAAATGGGTGGCTTATGGCATCATTAATAAAGAATTCATTTACATGTCACCGTTTAAAGTCCCTTCTCTGCATCCACAAGAGACTTCTGAGCCACTGAGTTGGTTTCTCCAATGGAAACCAGTACCTCTTTCCAAACAGGCCCTTTACAAGTCTAAATGTAGGCTTTTAAGTGGCCACATCTCCTAAATATGAACGTGAGGAAGTGTTCTCCTCTCTTGCCTTGCTCAGTTTTCAGTGATGAATGTCCCCATCTCCTCCATGGGGTCCTGCACCACCATGTTGCATTACAGGCATCACCAAGCTCAGGATGGCCAGACAGCTTCTCTTTTTGGGGTGGGTGTCTGTGGCAGTGGGAGATGGATTTGACTTATTGCCTGTTTTGTATGAAGAGGTTTGTGTTACCTGAGAGGACACAGTAGCTGAGGAGAGCTGAAAGCTGATAGTCCATGTGGTCTCTGTTGTTTGGAAAGCTGAGTTCCAATAACCACCATGGGAACTCTGCTTTTAACCTGTCTGTGCTGATCAGAAGGGTTTGAAGCACAGGGTGACAGGAGGGACAACATTTCCTGCTTTCCTTTACACACAGAGGAGAGAGAAGACAACAACTTCTCCATTTCCTCTTTCCTTGTACATAATTCCTCTTGTTTATTTAAATGTTTTTTTTACTCTCATTCTCCTTTACTCAGTGACTTGAGACTTTATTGGTAAGGACGTTCCCAACTCCCCCTTGGCATCCTAAAGGTCCAAAACACAGGGAACACTGCACTACGGGCACCTATCACTGACCTTGGCCTCTCAGCCCCTTAGCACTCCATTGCACGTGTGTGCTCACCTGGACGTGGTACTGGGAAGTCTCGTGCATAATGATGTTGGAGTTGGAATATTTTTTCCTTTGTTCTGTAAGAAACAAGAAAAGAAACATAGGTTATTTTTATTTTGATCTGAGAATTAAATCTCTGAGTCTTTCTCACAGTCCCCAAGCTTCCAGCTCAGGCTCCGCGGGCATTGCCAGCAGGTGTCTCTCCAGAACAAGCATTGCCTTTCCTTGAGCTTTGTCTTGGGGATTTCACCTTTCTCCCTGACCAGCCAAGAGCTTTTAAATCGAGTTCCTCTTGGTGCACTGGGCTCAGCACAATCCTGCTCACAGCTTGGGGAGCGTACTGAGCACCCAGAGATATCCCAGTGATAAGGATCATGAAAAGAGGCCACTGCTCTTCTTTGGAGCCTGGCAAGGATGGGTAGAAGTTAATTCAAGACGATTCCTAAAGCTTTTTAACACTTATCCTAACACTCTTTAGGTTGTGCCACCAACTTGGCAGGATACACGAGTACTTCACGTTTGTAGCTCCGTGCCTGTGGCTGAAAAAACACAGCAGTGTTCTGCCTCTGTGCCTGACTGCTGACAGCCCTGGAGTGGTGGATGTTCTCCAGTAGACGTGATTTACTGATTCATTGGTGGGAATATTGGCAGAGGCATTAATGGAGAATGCAGGGCTGAGCCTGTGTCTCATACACCACCAGCACCAGTTCAGAGGTGGAGTGAGAATGGTTCAGGGGAAAGACCACAGACAGCCAGCCCAACTCCCTGCTCAGCCATTCCAGAGTGGCCTTGAATACACGAATTAATATTGCAGCGCAGCCCCTTCCCACCTCAGGCTGGCAGAAAAGGCTCAGTGGCACTTTCTGGTTGCTGGGGGCTTTAATTGCAGTCTGTCCTACTTAAAATGTGGGGCAAGGTCTGGGGTAGGGCACAGGCAGCGCATCCCACAGGGATCTGGGGCTGATGTGAGGCACTTTTTTCCTCTCAGTAACCTCAATTTCCTCCCTGAGCATTTCTCATGTAAATAGATGACACTGGTGGAAATGAGAACAGCGCATTCATGTGGGATGGAGACAGATTTGGGTTTTAAGACATCCCATCCCCTCCTTTTCCAAAGGGAGTGGAAAAAGCTGAAGTGGGTGGTCTGGAAACAAAGGGAGTTTACATTCGGACAGGCAAATGTCTCCAGCCATGAGAGGAAGGGTGCGGAGCTGTGTTGAGAACTGGTAGTCCCTGAGGGAAGGACAGAATACCAGGGGGATGAGGTTTCCAGTGGGAGGTTAGCACAGGTCTGTGCTCCTGGTAGGAAAACAGCCCATGGAGCTATAGCAGTGGTCAGGGCAGCAGCTGGTTGCCCTCAGACTCCCTGGGATCCCTTCCAATGCCTTTTCCCCTCCCTCCACGCTCAAAGAAGCTGCACATGTCACAGTCAGGGGAGATCTCAGTATGCACTGCTGAGAAAATGTTCAGAGAAGCCCTTGGAAGTTTTGGGGGCTGGCCAAAACCTCAGAACTCTGCACAGCCCAGCTTCTCATCACCTGCACTCAGTGAGTGCAAGAGAGCAAAGCCCCTTTAGCCCTTTGCAGCCTTGTTAAGACAGCAGCAAGCCCTGGGATAGGGAGAAATGCAGATGTTTTCCTTCCCTCTGTTGATTTTTCCCTGAGGAATTTCTTCATTACCTCCACGAATCACAGAACTAGAACAAAGTGCTTCTATTTTGTCTCCCGATGTCATTCAAGTGATGTCCCAGAAGCTGCCCAGGGCAAGAAATGGGGTGTTTCTGCATGTTCTCCTGAAATCCCTTCTGTCTCTTTGATTTCTACCTGGCCCCCACACCCATGGAAACCATTAATTTTGTGTTTCCTGCTGGCATCCGCAAATAAGATCATGAGGTCCGGAACCAGCCAGACTTTCCAGGGACAGCAGGGTGCCAAAACACTGAAATCTCCTTCTTTTCTAGCACTTAGTTTTGATTTAAACACAGGAAGAATAAAAGAACCAGGTTGCAGATCATGAGAGTCATGTTTGGGCCACATCTATCCAAGGAGTGTTGATGCTTTAAAGAAAATGAGTGTTTATTGGTTTATTTACTCAAAACAATGAGGTAAAACACTGCAGGCCTTTCCAAGATGCATCATTATTTGTCTTTGATTAAATTTGGCTCTGGTTGGGCTGGGCTGATCCCAAAATGCTTTTAGGAAGAAGTTCTTCCCTGTGAGGGAGCTGAGGCCCTGGCACAAGTTGCCTAGAGATGATGGGGCTGCCCAATCCCTGGAAGTGTCCATGGCCAGACTGGACTGGACTTGGAGCAATCTGGGAAAGTGTCCCTGTCCTTGGCAGGGGATGGAATGAGATGAGCTTTAAGGTCCCTTCCAACCCAAAGCATTCTGGCATTCTGTCAATGATGCCTATAGCAAAATCTTTTTGACTCCTTGATCAAGGGGGATCCTTTCCCTTGCCCAGGTGAACTCCCTTGCCAGCCATACCTCAGAAGGCAGGTCAGCTGTCCTGTGTGGCTCCACCCTGCCCTTCTGCACAGCTTTGTCCCTGACCTGCTGAATTTTGTATGAGTGCATTCTGGCCTGTTAGCAGCAGCAGGAGGAGGAGCTGGTTTCCTCCTGCTTCATCTGACACCTCACACCGGGACACTTGGCATTTCTACAGTGTCCTGCAACAGGACCTCAGCACCTTCAGGTGTTATCCGACCGCTAACCTGGCCCCAGGATGTGGAGAATTTGCATAATCCCAATGTGATAGATGAGCATTGCAGAAATATAGTGATGATTTCCCTAAATTAGCTCAAACACCCATCTGCACCTCTGTATATCTCCTGCTATGACCTTCAGATCTGTGGCAGTGAAAGAATCTGGATATAACACAGACAAAGGGCAAGAAGAACTCTAGGGCTGTGGCACCAGTACAGCAAACATCCAGAGGTGATAAAGCTGGCATGAGCCAACAATGAGCACTGTCCTTTTTCCCTTTTGTCTGCCAAGAGAGCCAAAGAGATGGGAAAACAATAGAGCTTTGTCTTGTCCTTTTTGTGCCTAGCAAGGACAAAACCCAACTCATAGTATGGGTATCCTGGCAGGTGCTGGTGGGATGCCCTATGGCCTGAGGAGAAGTGCTTATCTCAGACACTTGCTGTATCTATGGGATTGGGAATCCAGAAAGCTTTGAATGCCTTGAGCATGGGTAACTCAACCTCTGGTAAATTGTCTCATCTCTTCCCTCTCAGGATCTGGCCCAGCAACCCCTAAGACAATCCTTTGAAGGGAAAAAAACACCATAAATGGTTCTTTAACAGAATTCACTTCGGTTCTCTACTAACCAGGTAGCTTTAATCTTGCCTCACACCCAGAGGGGTAGGCAAAATGGCAATGAATGTTATCCATGACTGACATCTTACAGATAAACAGTGTTGTGGAATGGTGTTTCACACTGGCACCAGTGAGGAACTGGAAAGCACTGAGACCACTGCTGAGCCCACCACTGAGGGCTCAAAACAGTGCTGAGCTGAAACCCAGTAATGATACTAAAATCTTGGCTGGCAGGGAAAGAGTCCTGTTTTGCTTTATGTTAAGAAGTGGAAAGGATGAAAGAAAGTAATAAATCAGACAAAGAAGCAGGATCGATACACATCCTGGAGGGCTGAGGTTATCAGCTTGGTCCAGGAAGCCAAAGCACATCTTTAGTGCCAAGTTCCCTCCCCATTTCCATGCAAAACCTTATTTGGCAGGGAGCTGGGATGTGGCTGCAAATGCTCCGTTCAGTGAGCACAGGAGATCAGCTAGTGGGATAAATTGCCTGTGGGACCAGCTTACAGCCGGGATAATTGGTTAAGGTCTCTGAGAATGCTGAGCAGTGCCAAGGAGGGCAGGAGCAGGCTTGTCTTTCTCCATGCACAGCCTCTGTCAAGCCAGAGGGGCACAGCACCCCCAGTACAACCTGCCAGTGGCCCCTGCCTCCCCTCCAGGCACATCTTTTTCTGATTAATTAGTTTTACCACACAGGATCCTACCTGATCCTCCCTGTCCCTCCCTACATCTGTTTACAGCCATTGCTGAGCAGAAGGCACAGCAGAAGACGGGGATGTATGGACAAGTACAGAGCAGTCTCTGAGGAATGAGAGGCATTGGATTTGTTTTCCTTGGCAGTGCCATACCAAGGACCTCTCCTCCATTCTCTGAATCACACTGCCAACCTTCCTGGCCTCTACATCCATTACAGCAGCCTAAGGGAAGCCCTGGCGGTTACCTCTGGAGCTTGCCAGTTCGTTATATAATCTTTACATTATCTATACATTATCTAGCAGTGCACACAGTGTTTATACGAACCTGCCAGTGTAGTGTGAGCTGCTCTGTGCCAAATGGCAGGTCAGGACCAGCCTGCTGAGGAGAAATGTGGCAACAAATGCTCTGTGTGCTCATGGCAGCCACAGAAACTTGCCAGGCTGGCTTACAGAACAGAAGTATGGAATAACCTCCATTCCAGGATGCCAGCATAGAGCCAGATGTGGCAGTTGAACACATAATCTACCAGGTTCCCGCTTCCTGCTCCAGGGTTACCCAGGGTTAGTCAAGGATCTGGTTTTGGGCCTTGCACTGACCTGCTGTGCCTGAGCTCCTGACAGGGGAGAATCTGCAGGTCCTGCCTTGCTTCTTCCCTGTTCTCTATGGCCAGCACAGAGAGAGTTCCATTTTGGGATATCTTTGCAGTTTAGGGAGCATAGAGCTCCCTGGGTTTGCTGTTAGATCCGTGGTACCAGCTGAACTGCTGGAGCTGGTCTGTACTGGCGCCTGTGGCACTGGGAATGTCTGTCTGGTCAGTTCTCACTCACGGCTGGCGTGTGCAGATGGATCTGGAAGCTCTTGGAGTGAATGAACAGCTCTCATTGAGGTGTGAATGGGCTGTGGCAGCAAAGAGCAGCGGCTCCGGGTTCCACACGGCTGAATTCCTGCTCGGCACACTTCATATTTGCCACAGCTCAGCCCCAAGTGCTCACATTCCTGCTTTATTAGCTGAAGACACATCCCACTCTAGGAAAGCAAATAAAAACCTGGCACAGCTCCTGGGT